CGCATTTGTAGTGCGTATGATTCGCGAAACGAACTTGTTTAATACGGGATTTTTGGGAGTAAAAGCGAAGGATTTGCCGGCGATGGAAGTGCCAGAGATCAGGGCAAAATTTCAAAATCTTGCTGAAACGATGCGACGACGACAACAGATGGAAGCTGATGCATTATACGCAGAGCAGGTTCATCTCCATTAGCATTCACTAAAACGATTCAGAAACAGTTTGTTTTGAAATCACTGAGTTGCGTTCTTACTTCTTCCCGTCAACACCGGGCTTGCATGTGTGTGCAGCTGTGTAGTGAAGCAGCGGTAGTTTTAAGCCTACATGTGAGTCTCTTGATAGCTGTTTAATGTTTGTCTCACTGGCCTTTTTCTAATTTTTTAGGATTTCACTTTTACAGGTTTTTGTTTGGAATTCGGCGATCCAGAAGAGCGAGGATTCCACGTTGTTAGCTCTGAAGAATGCGGTGCCACGTGTACCGGTGATAGCATTATCTCTGAATCTGTAAGTGAGAGAGGCCCACATTACTTCCTTATTTTCAAATTTCCATTACGATCTCTCCTTTTTCAACAGTGATGTGCATTATCTCTTCCGCATTATCGCCATTAATAATGCATTTAATGCTGAATGTGTACTGTCTCGGTGGTCTTGTGTTCGTGGCTTCACGGAAGAAAATCCCGGAATCAGACGGGGTCGGTACTTCGTTTAATCTTAAGCAAGCGTCTCGAAGGGTGCGGCTTATCTCCGCATATTTACAGTTTGTTACTGCCGTTTTAGCCGCTGAAAATCACTCACCAGTCACATATCCTCGGTGATCTGCTTTGAAATTGCATTCATCCATGCTTCCATGTGGATCCGCTTATCTCACTGATATCTTTGCTAACGCCCTGTTTCGTTATCGGTGGATGATTCATTGGTTTTGTTATCAGTAAGTGATAAACATCGGTGTATTAAATTTTGTTTGTGTGAAAAAGGGCCACAAATTAAATTAGTGGGTGCAAGTCCGACTGAGATGTAAAATTTCACTACAAAAACATAGAGGATGAAAATGCCAACTCTTAAAACGCCAAATTTCTGTTGCATCAGTAAAATATTTTATATTCGGCTAGATTTTTATACGGAGAGGTTTTTTCTTGGGGCAGTGAACCGTTGTATAATTGGTCTGTAAACTGGGGCATTTGACCTCTAATTATTGTCTCAGTGGGCAGATGAAACAACCGTAGATACTGCGAAAGAATTACGTTGGCTTCTGGGGAACAAAGGGTTCTCAGTTGTTTAATGCACGATCTGTATGACTTTTTTTCCAGGCCGGTTAATTTGTTTTGTTTGAAGCAGAAGTGAATTTTCTTTTATTGAAATTTTTCTTGCATTTCGTTCTCATTGCTTTCTTTTGCTTTTTCAGCATTTGCCCGTTCTGTAAAAGCAGTTTTCGTTTTTCGTTGTACAAAATGA